TCTTGACCTTTTATCTGTGTAGCAAATACTTTCTTCTAGCCTGCTGTTTATGTTTTAATTTTGAGTAGCATATCTTTCTCCAAACAAGTTTTTTAAGTTTTGGGGGTTTTGTTGCTGGTGTTTTTTGTTTTTGAGACAGGGTATCATTCTGTTGCCTAGACTGGAGTACAGTGGCATGATCCCAGCTCACCACAGCCTCGATTTCCTGGGCTCAGGTGATCCTTTCGCCTCAGCCTCCCAAATAGCTGGGACTACTGATGCATGCCATCACGACTGGCTAAATTTTTTGTAGAGATGAGGTTTTGCTACATTGCCCAGGCTGGTCTTGAACTCTTGGGCTCAAGCAATTCTCCTGCCTCTGCCTTCCAAAGTGTTGGGATTACAGGCACGAGCCACCGTGCCTGGCTGTTTCCAAAATTACTACTCCTTATTTCATGGCTTCTGAGTTTTTAAGTCATGCTCAGAAAGGCCTTCTTTACCCTAATATAAAAATATTCTGGATTTTCTCTTTGTACTTTTACAATTTTATTTTTGCATTTACTTTTGTATATAAGTAGGGATTTCATTTGATTTTTTCCCCAAATGGGCAGCCAATAGTCCCATGACATTTACTGACTCCACACTAATTTGAAATGTCTTCTTTATTATAAATTAGATTTCCATATGAATATATGAGCTTGTTCCTAAACTATTTTGTTTCATTTATGTATTCTTCTGTGATGATATGACATTTGTAATTACTGCAGCTTTATGGTAAGTTTTTATATCAAACAGAGCAAGTCATTCTTTTTTTTCAAAGTTTTCTTAGTAATTCATGAGCATTTACTTTTCCAAATGAAATTTAAAATCCAATCACCTGATTCCCAAAGAAAATATCACTGAGATTTTAATGAGAAATGCAATTTGACGAAATTGAGGGAAAATGTCATTTTTACTGTATTGAGTCTTCCCATCCAGGAACAGAATATGACTTTGATTTACTCAAGTCTCTTTACAGCCTTTGATGAAATTTTATAGTAGTTTTCTACAGAGGAATATTTCACATTTCTTGTAAATTTGTAGGGATTTTACAGTTTTTTCTTTTTTCTTTTTTTTGCTATTGTGAATGGGATCTTTTTCTATCATGTACTCTAACTGGTTAGTGCTGGTATTCAGAAAAGCTATTGGTTTGAGTGTATATTTATCTTGTATCTACCCAAAGCATAAAATTTTCTTCTTAGTTCTAATAATTTTCCATTTTATTCTCTTTGATTATCTAAATAGACAATCATATCATCCTCAAGTAATGTTAATTCTGACTCCTTTCTAATATTTACATTACTTATTTCTTTTATTAATCTCACTGCTTTAAACCTCCAGGGAAAATATTGGTTAATAACAGTGATAGCAGTCATCCTTATTTTGTTCCTGAACTCAGTGGAAATGTATCCAATGCTTCACTGTTAAATTTGATGGTTGTCTTTGGTTTCTGATAAAAATTATTTACCAAGTTAAGGAAGTTGTCATCGACTCCTAGCTAACTGTATTAGTTATCTATTGCTATGTGACAAATTACTCCAATGCAGCAAAAGAATGCATGTGTAATTTTATCAGATCATTTTTCAGCATTTATGGAGATGATTATATGATCTTTTTTATTTAATCTACTAATGTAATAAATTACAATAACAAATTTTCTAATTTTGAACAATCCCTGCGCTCCTGGGACAGATGTTCACTTGTCACAATATATTCTTCTTTTAATACATTGATGGATTCTGTTCAATAATCTTTTATTCAAAATATTTGTTGTGCTATTAATATGTGAGATTAGGCTATAGTTTGCTGGGCTTTTTTGGTCTACACCTAGCCAGTTACACTAGCCTTATGCAATAAACTGGGAAGCTATCTATCTTTTCCTATTATCTGATCTTTCAAGAATCACTAGCACTTCCGTTATGCTAGAACTTCCAGAATACCAACTGGACCTGGTACCAATTCTGAGGAGAAAATTGTAACCATTTTTTCAGTTTTTTAAATTCCTTTTCCTTTTTTTTTTTTTTTTTTTTGAGTTGGAGTCTCTGTCACCCAGGCTGGAGGGCAGTGGCACGCTCAAGGCCACTGCAGCCTCAACCTGCTGGGTCCAGGCGATCCTTCCGCCTCAGCCTTCCAAGTAGTTAGAACTATAGGCACACGCCACCATGCCTGGCTAACTTTTTGATTTATTGTAGAGATGGGGTCTCACCAAGTTGTCCAGGCTGGTCTCAAACCCATGGGCTCAGGCAATCCTCTCATCTCGGCCTCCGCACCTGGCCTAATATCCTTTTTCATTCTATTCAGGTTTTCTGCCCCTCCTTAAGTCATTTAGTTAATTTTCCTAGAAAACCACTCATTTAATCTAGATTTTCACATTTATTGGTATAAAAGTATACAAAGTATTCTCTTTCTCTCTCTCTCTCTCTCTCTCTCTCTCTCTCTCCATTTTTTTCAGGGCCACCCTTTGTTGCCCAGGCTGGAGTGCAGTGGCATGACCACAGTTCACCGCAGCCTCGATCTCCTGGGCTTAGGCAATCCTCCTGTCTCAGCTTCCCAAGTAGCTGGGGCTACAGGTGTGTGCCACCACACCTATCTAACTTTTAAAAAAATTTTTTTGTGGAGATGAAGTATCACTATGTTGCCCAGGCTAATCTCGAACTCCTGGGCTCAAGCAATTCCTGCCTTAGCCTCCCAAAGTTCTGGAATTATAGGTGTGAGCCACCACATCCAGCCATATTCTGTTTTTGTTGTTGTTGTTGTTGTTGTTGTTTTTGAGTCAGAGTCTCACTATCCCCCAGGCTGGAGTGCCGTGGCATGCTCACAGCCACTGCAGCCTTGACCTGCTGGGCTCAGGCAATCCTTCTGCCTCTGACTTTCAAGCAGCTAGAACTGCAAGTGCATACTACCACACCTGGCTAATTTTCTGATTTATTGTAGAGAACAAGTCTCACTGAGTTGTCTAGACTGGTCTCGAACCCCTAGACTCAGGCAATCCTCTCACCTCAGCCTCCCAAAGTGCTGGGATTACAGGCTTGAGCCACTGCACTCAGCCCAGCCATATTCTCTTATAATAATGTTTCTTTAGCTCTCAGAACCTACAGCTAAATCTCTTTCCTCATAATTATTTTATTTATTTATTTATTGCCTTTTTCTCAATCATATCAATCAGAAGATGGTTTACCTAGTTTGCATTTTCTTTTCTTTCTTTCTTTTTTTTTTTTTTTTTTGGAGTCAGAGTCTCACTCTGTCACCCAGGCTGGAGTGCAGTGGCACGCTCACAGTCACTGCAGCCTCAACCTGCTGGGCTTAAGCGATACTTCTGTCTCAGCCTTCCAAGTAGCTGGAACTACAGCCTTCCGAGTAGCTAGAACTACAGGCATATGCCATCACGCCTGGCTAATTTTATGATTTATTGTAGAGATGAGGTCTCACCATGTTGCTCAGGATGGTCTCAAACCCCTGAGCTCAGGCAATCCACACACCTCCACCTCCCAAAGTGCTGGGATTACAGGTATGAGACACTGTGCCCAGCTTTGTTAGTTTTTTCAAAAGTCATCTTTTCAGTCTTTTTTTTTTTTTTTTTTTTTTTTGGTTTTTTGAGTTGGAGTCTCACTCTGTCACCCAGGCTGGAGTGCAGTGGCACACTCATGGCCACCCCAGAGTCAACCTGCTGGGCTCTGGTGATTCTTCCATCTCAGTCTTCCAAGTAGCCAGAACTAAAGGTGTGTACTACTATGCCTGGCTAATTTTTTTATTTTTTGTAGAGATGAGGTCTTGCTAAGTTGCCTGGGCTGGTCTCAAAACTGCAGGCTCAGGCAATCCATTCGCCTCAGCCTCCCAAAGTGCTGGGATTACAGACTGCGCCACCGAGCCCGCCCTTCAAAAGTCATGTTTTACTGTATCAAACATTTTATTTTCTATTACATTAATCTCTGGTTTTATCTAAGTTGTTACTTTATTCTGTCTTCTTTTGGTTATTATTTTTCTACCCTCTTGAATGGAATAATCAGTTCATTTAATTTAAATTGTCTTGTTCTCTAATATAAGCATTTAAGACTATAACCTTTCCTCTGGGAACACTTATGGACATTTTCCATAGGTTTTGATGTGTAGTGATCTCATTGACATTTATTCTAAATAGTCCATAAACTCCATTCTTATTTCCTCTTTAACACAGTATTTTTAAAATTTCCAAATGGGAGGGAGGGCCTAGCCTTCTAGTTGCTTTTGTTCTTGTTGCTGTTTTGTTTTTTGTTGTTGTCGTTGTTTGGTTTTTGGTTTTTTTTGAGAGAGAGACAGGGTCTTGCTTTGTCACCTGTTGAAGTGTGGTGGCCTGATCACAGCTCCTCAAACTCCCGGGCTCAAGTGATCCTCCTGCCTCAGCCTCTCAAGTAGCTGAGACTATAGGCACATGCCAGCATGCTTGGCTACTTTTAAAATTTTCTGTAGAGACAGAGGGTCTCACTATGTTGCCCAGGTTGGTCTCAAACACCTAGCCTCCCAAAGCACTGGGATTATAGGTGTGGGAAACATGCACCCAGCCTGCTGTTAATGTTTCCTTGTATTGAATTATTATTAGAAAACATGTTTTATGTTTTCTAATTAACTTGGAAATAATGTTGTACTCCAAAGATGTGGGCAGATTGTTCCCTCTGTCTAAATGCCCTTCCCCAGTCTATCCAACTGACAAACTCCTATTCATTCTTCAAAACAGCTCAAATGTCACATATTCTAGGATCATCACTCCCACCTTTGGGGCAGGTCTCTAGGGAAAGATTGTTTAAAGGAAGGATAAACTACAACTCCATTCCGAATGTCCTCTTTGGTCTCCTGACCTGATCTCCCAGGCACTCTGCTCACACACTCAATCACCCATTCTACAGTCACAGCAGGGGCTAAGGGAGGTGGGGAAGGGGTCTGGCAATGATACTGCATATTTGTCTGGAAGGGTGAGGCATTGGGGAAGGGATGGGTCTAGCTCTTACCTGCTCTCTGCCAGCCTGCCTGAGGGGGTAAGCTTCATGGAGTCAAGGACCTGAGTAGGACAGCAATACTGGTGTAGAGTATGAGACGCTGTGGACCTGAGAGACAGCAAGAGACAGAGAGAGAGAGAGAGAGAGAGAGACAAGGAGGGAGGGAGTGGGTGGGCGATGGGGACAAGGAAGTGAGAGTGAATGGGGGAGAGGAAAAGGGAAGGCTGGGAGGAATGGAGGGAGGGAATGGAAGAGGAGGGGTGGGAAGTAGGGGGAGGAAAGGCAGGAAGATAAGGGAAAGGGGAAAAGAAGGAGGGAGGAAGAAAGGAAGGGAGAGGGAGAGGGAGGAGGGAGGGAAGGAAGGAAGGAAGGAAGGAAGGAAGGAAGGAAGGAAGCAAGGAAGGAAGGAAGGAAGGAAGAAAAAAGAAAAAAACCACAAAGTCAAGAAAGAGAGGACGGCACTCGAACCACATACAGAACACAACGACAACAGGGGGCAGTAGAGACGAAAGAGCCGGGCTGGGCCTCTTGTGTTCCAGGTGACTCCGTGGGGACCTCAGCCACGGAGACACTGGGACACCACAGCAAGGAAAGGGGAAGGGAGCCCTCCTCACACCAGACGCCACAGGGGTAGGGAGGAGGGGCAGGAAAAGGGAAGATGAAAGAGAAGGGGGAAAGATTTGGGGGAGACTTCTCTTGTAGAAGACCCCTCACAGGAAGGGAGGGGAGAATGAAGGGAGGGGAGGTTCTGGGGCCAAAATGGGGGAGACCCCAGGTGGGTGGATGGGTGGGGAACACTGAAGGAGGAGAGAGAAAGAGACAGAGAGAAACCGAAAGAGACAGAATAAGGAGAAAGACAGAGAAAGGGCATGACAAAAGACACAGAGAGAAGCCAGGGAGAGGCAGAGAGTGTCAGAGCAGAGGAGGGGTAGGGGCAGAGGAGGCTGACAAGGTCTCAGTGGTCTTGGTGACAGGATGGGCCTCAGGGCTGAGTGGGTGAGGCAGAGGACAGGGTGGTTCCAAGCAGGACTCTTTTGCTTTGAAGGCCAGTGCTTCACCCTCCCCACCAAGGCAGGGCCCACACTCCACCCCTGGTGCTGTGCCCCCACCCCTAGTGCAGGGTCCAAAGGCCCCTTCACCTCCTGCTTCCCCTGATTAAAGTCCAGAGAATGGCGAGGGAAAGGAAGAGGGACAGCAGGATAGAAGGCTGAGGGCCTGGTCCCTTCCCTACCCAGTACAGTACAGACTCCAGGGACATACCAGCCAGTCAGAGCTAGGACAAGCTGGGAGCAGGGCCAGCCCCTCCAGGTCAGTCGGCCCCTGTCCTCCACAATCCCCTGGAGGCAGTTGTCGTCAGAATCTGACCATTCAAAAGCCCAAGTAAAAGCCAGGAGATGTGGCTGCAGGCCAGGCCAGCCGCAAATTTGAAGATGTCCAAATCTTAGAATCTTATACAGAGTCTTTGAGTCTGACTCTTCTCATCAGAGGCTCTGGAATAATCGTCATCATGAGAGCGACGATTTCTCAAGTGCTGTGAATTTGTAGACGCCCAAATCTTAAAATCTTACAGAGAATCTGGGAATCTGAGACTCTTATCTGAGGCTCTGGAATAATCATCATCAGAGCAACTGTTTCTCAAGTGCTATCTATGTGCCAGTCACCAGCCTAAGTCCTTGACTTATTATCTCATTGACTCTGAGCCTCAGAGACCCCTTAGGCTGCTGGAATTTTGGTGTCAGAATCTCAGCGGCTGCCAGCCTGGAGCCCTGCAGTGCCGGGAGAGGCTAGCGCACTAGGACAGCCACCAGCTCAACCCTCGTAGGCCGAAGACTGTGCTACTCAGGGATTCAGGGTCCTTACAGAGCTGAGCACCCGATGTCCATGGGCTCACCCACTCGGGCCGGCTCCCTCCCCCAAGCCAAAGGCCTCCAAGAGTCTAAGAAGGGAGCCAGGAACCAGGAAGCCAGGAGGCTGCTGAATCAGCAGCCCAGGGACTGGGTCCAGGCCTGGGCAGGAAGGGAGGGGACCAGACTGCAGGGCTCAGGTTCCTACCTGCTGCTCTTTTCAGGGGGCTCCATGGGTCTGGACCTGTCCCAAGGGCAGGCCCCCGGGCCCTGCCGGTGCCTCTACCGTGTCACCACCCCCTCCTCCCCAGCCCTTCCCTAGAAGGAGGAACCAAGGAGGCGGGGCCAGGCCAGCTGGGCTGCGGGCCAGACTGCAACTGGAAACTTTGCTTCTTTCCCTGCTCCCTCAGGAGGGCTGGGAACTCCTTGTAAGAGGAAGCAGCTTGGAGAGCTTGTAGTTACTACTCTGGGCCAAACCCCAGGGCTGAGCTCCCTAAGTGCCGCAGCTCAGCTGGAATCTCCCAAGCACCCTGTCAAGTTTGTGTCACTAACCGGATCCCCCAGAAGAGAAAACTGAGATGGAGAGAGGTGAAGTAATACTATCAGTAAGTGGCAGAAACCCAAGAGTAGGACCTGGTTTGGCCATTCCCAAATCTGGAATCTGTTTCCTGGCCATATCACTGCCTTGTGAATTCAGAAACCTTTCCATAGAATCTTTTCACAAACATCCTCATTTTCAGCACAGTTAAAGAGACCATGTTTAGGAGTTATTCTGGGACACTCCATAGCAAGTAAAATTCAAATCACCCATTTTGGGATATCAAGATAGGGCCCTGGCCAATATTCTTTACCACTGCAATAAACTCTCACTCTTTTTCGTGTTGTTTTCTAGATGGGCTAAGAGAGCAATGCTCCCTGGAGAGAAAAGGAAAAATCAGAAGAAACGCTGCTCACAATCAAGAGGCTATTCTTCCAAGGAAATTGCCCATCCTGACTTCACAGATGGGGAAGTTGAGGCCTGGAGAGGAGAAGAGTCTTACTAAAGTTCATACAGCAAGTTAGAGTAGACTCCAAGTACCCTGACTCCAGAGTGCCTGCTTGCTACAGTAATCTCTCTGTCCTCCAGATGGATGGGACTGGAGAAAGGAGAGAATTCTAAACTCTGAAGGATGCGAGGCTCCTAAAGAGTACCACAGGTACAGCTCAGAGTATTCTTGTCCTTTCACAGTCCCAGAGCCCAGGCGCCTGGCTGCTCTGAGCAGAAGGCGGACCTGGGAGGGGCCAGGGGGCCGGTGATCTAGAAGGAATAGGAGCTGACAGGCAACGGGCCAGTCTTCCTGTCTCCCTGCTGGGGCAGCTGGTTCCTCTCAAGAAAGCCAAAGCTTCAGAGAGAGAGAGGCCCTCCGGACCACCGCAAGGTTGGCATCTGTGGGCCCTTGGTGGCCTCCTCTCCTTCCACCCACCCCCTAAAGCCCTGGTCTTCAGGGCTCTGGCCCCAGTCACTGCCTTTTTGCTTTTCTCTCTTTGAGGAACTCTCCTAGCTCCTGTAGAGGATTCACCTTGTGCCCATTTGTAGTTGTTGCCCTAAAAGCTGTATCCCTGGTCCACACCTTTCTCTTGTCCTGGCAGGGGTCAAGAGACAGAAGTTCTAGTCCTGACTCTAAGGCTGATGCCGTATGACCTCAGGCAATCAATCCCCTTCCCTTCTCTGGAGAGGCAAAGAACCAACTTTGGAGCCTGGTAGAGCTAGGTCCAAGTCCCAGCTCTACAGCCTTTTAGCTGGGTAACCCCTCTGAGGCTCAGTTTGTTCATCTATAGAAAGAGTTCCTACTACACATTCTTGTAAGGATTTGGTGAGACAAAATATGCATATGGTGAAGAGTCTCAGCTAGAGCCTGAGAGAGTCTGATCCTTTTCCCATAGAAGCAGAAGAGACCCGTGGGAAGCCTGTTTGTTTCAAAAATGGGGAATAAGATTTCTTTTTTTTTTTTTTTTGAGTTGGAGTCTCACTCTGTCGCCCAGACTGGAGTGCAGTGGCTGCTCCCGGCCCCCGCAGCCTCGACCTGCTGGGCTCCGGCGATCCTTCCACCTCAGCCTTCCAAGTAGCTAGAACTACAGGCACGCGCTACCACGCCCGGCTAATTTTTGATTTATTGTAGAGATGAGGTCTCGCCAAGTTGCCCAGGTGGGTCTCAAACCCGGGGATTCAGGCAATCCACTCACTTCAGCCTCCCAAAGGCATAGGATTATAGGCTGAGCCACCGAGCCCGGCTGGGAATAAGATTTCTAAGAAAATATCCTTTAGCCTGTGGTCACTTTGGAATTCAGTCATAGCTGAGCATGCTGGGTACACTCATGTGATGACCCACTAGGAGCTGAAGGGAAGAAGGAATAAACAGTGAGGAGTTTAACCCAGTCACAGGGTACTGGCAGGTCCTTCACTCACTTATTCAACAGATACTGTGGACCAGGCACTGTGCCAGGTGCTGGATACAGCAGTGACTAAGAGTAGACAGTGTCCTGCTCACATGGAGCTTACATCCAAGTGAGAGGAGACAGACATTCACCAACTTATGGAATTAAACTGAGCAAAAGTGGAGGCAGCAGGGGGAGAGCATTCCACATAGAGGAAATAACCAAGGTAAAGAACCTGAAGTAGTATTTCTAGCAAGTGCAAAGTGGTGAGACTGGAGATGCAGGTGGGGTCCCAATCATGCAGAGCCTTGAAGACCTCCATAGGCCTTCCATGTTTATGCTAATAGCAGTTTGGAAGCCTGTGGCTCAAGGACAGGCATGGGTGGGGGGTATCTCTGAAGTTCCTGGAGCTACATGAAAAATATTAATTTCTGGGGAGAGCATCTCTAGCTTTCATCAGATCCTTTTGGGTTTATGATCCCAAAAGGGGTAGGGAAGCTTCTTATATGATTCCATTCACCACATTCCTATGATGAGCTAGTGGCAGGCATCCTAGAAACTTCTGTGAGCTAGCCCTTTGCCCCCACCTCCAGCTAGTCTCAGCCTTTCCCTCATCTTCAACCTGTGTTTCACCCAGACAGAAGAACTTGAAGTTCTCACCTATGCTCTGCTGGCTCCACGCCTCGCCTTCACCTATGCTGTCTCTCCGTGCCCCTACTGCCACCTCCCTGCCTGGCTAGCTCCTCCTTTTTCAAAAGTCAGCTAGACATTGTGTCCTCTGGGAACCTGCCCCAATTCCACCCAGGCAGATTGAGTTACCTCCCTGTATCCTTCCATCTTGCACTTCTCTCAGTATTGTCTGTTCGCATGCCTGTTGCCCCTTCTTGACCAGGAGCTCTGTGAGGGCAGGGGCTTTGTCCTGTTTATCCCAGTGTCCCCAGCACCCAGCACAGGGCATCTGTTCACACACGCTGTTGGGAGACAATGCAGACATGGAGGCTGCAAGGTGTGCTGGTGGACACTAGAGGGCACTATGGCCAATGGAATCCTGCGGCTGATGCTGGCTCCGGTGCCTGACGCCAGGCCAACTCAGCGGGCGCCCAGAACAGAACATGCAATGTCTCCAAGGCCTGGGAAGCACAGAAACTGCTGCTGGGTCCTGCAGTTCCTCAGTTCCGGACCTAACTGATCAAGGCTCCAGTTCCAGTCTCCCAATATACTTATGCTTCCTTTCCAAACCAGACTCCAACTCACAGCAGATATAGCTTTAGTTCGTCACAAGTGCGGGTACCAAACATCCCTCCCACAGCTCCGGCCTGCAACACTCTCCACTTCACCTTGCCCCACCCACCCCTTCTCTGGCTAACCTCTACCCATCCTCCAAGTCTCAGCTTAGTTGTCAGCTTGGAAAAGTCTCCCTGACCCTCAGGCTGGCTTGGGTATACTTCACAGTGCTCCCACAGCACCCTACACTTCCTCTAGAATTGTCTGTTATTGTCCATTTCCTTGTCTGTTTTCCGATCAGACAGTGGGCTTCATCAGAGCAAGTTCCATTACTTTATTAGTCACCACTTTATCAAATGCACCATCTGGCACATTGTAGGTACTTAATAAATTGTCCTTGAAGGAATAAGTGAAAAAATGGATGGATGGATGACTTTGTGCAAATCACTTTACCTCTCTAGGTTTCAGTTCCCCCACCTGTAAATCACCCCCTACTTGGCAGGGTGGCCACAAGGATTAAAGATAACGTGTGACAAGTACTCTGTAACAGTACCTTATATATAGTAACATTTTCTTCATCAAAGCAATTATTAATATTTGAAACAGTAGAGCCAGGCATGGTGGCACAAGCCTGTAGTCCCAGCTACTCGGGAGGCTGAAGTGGGAGGATCGCTTGGGTCCAGGAGTTCAAGGCTGCAGTGAGTGATGATTGCACCACTGCACTCCATCCAGCCTGGGCAACAGAGCGAGACCCCCATTGCTTAAAATCACACACACACACACACACACACACACACACACACACGGAATGGTTAAAAAAGGGGGGGTAGGAGTTGAGGGAGACTGAGCTTGGGATCATCTCTCTCACTTAGGTTTACCATTTATATATGGAAGATGGCTTTCATAGTAATAAAACTGCAATTTTTATTAAATATAACAAAAGTACCTACATGTGCTGGGCCAGAAACAGGAGGCCCCCAAGGAAGTGGTGGGAAGCTTGTAGTCTAAGCCAGAGAATGTAAGGCCAGAACTGTGGGCATCACCCCTGCGTCTGGAGAACAGTCATTACTGGCACAGCTGGTTCCAAACTCTTTACTCATAGGTGAAAACTTGTCTAAGGGGTCATTAATTCCCTCTGTAATTAATGTAAAAAACTGCAGGGTTTGTATTAATGGAAAAGTAAGCTCAAGCGTCAAGCTGATAATATTGATAATGTGTGCTTGTAATTATATACTGCAGATAACTATAAATTCTGTTCCTGAACTTATAAAATATAAAAATTCCTGAAGCAGCCAAGCACGGTGGCTCATGCCTATAATCCTAGCACTTTGGGAGGCTGAGACAGGAGAATTGCTTGAGTCCAGGAGTTCAAGACCAGCCTGGGCAACATAGAGAGACCCCATCTCTACAAAAAAATACAAAAATTAGCTGGGTGTGGTGGTGTGCATCTGTAGTGCCAGATACTTGGGAGACTGAGGTGAAAGGATTGCTTGAGCCCAGGTCGAGGCTGCGGTGAGCCAGGATAGCGCCACTGCACTCCTGCCTGGGTACCAGAGTGAGACGCTGTCTCAAAAGAAAAAAAAATCCTGATGTAACCAAGAACTTGGTAGTGGCTGTACCACCAGTAGCATTATGTCAGTTGCTCTGAGGCTATGATAATCACAGGCTGGTAGCAACAGTAATATTCA